CTGTCCCACTATCATGCTCAGTCCCCACCAGGGTTTCAGCAATTCCTCTTTGTTACATTACCCTTGATCATGCCCTACCAGGCCTCCCACACCCACCTCACCACCTATTTGGATCACTTGTTGTTTCCTTGTACCTGAGTTTGTTAACACCACTTCCTTAACCCCCAAAATGAATATTGGATCCCTATTACTAAAGAAGAAAGCCTGTCATGTAGAAAAAACGATGGTTGAAAACTGATTAAGGTAGCAACTATACAAATCTACTTGACGTGATTGAAATATGAAATGATGTTATATTAAATTCCAACTTAAAAAAATGAACAAATGAGAATGATGATACTATCTGCCCCCCTTAAAGATGCATAGCCTCAGAAACCCTGTGTGGGACAGCCATGAGTCAGACTCAGCTTGATGGCACTGGGTTTGGTTTGGTGTACTATTAAGGAAACACAATTATTAAATGATGACTAGTCAAAATACATTCAAAGGGAAAGAAAGGTGAAGTGGTGATAGGAGATGAAAACCAGTTAAAAAAGCAAAATGTAATATAAGGAAAACTAAAATAAGTTCAGTAGGTGAGGACTGAAGCAATGAGGAAAAGGATTACTATATATACTCGAGTATAAGCTAACCTGAATATAAGCCAAGGCACCTAATTTTAGCACAAAAACTGCACTAAAAAATGTGCTGGAAAAACTCAGCTTATACACGAATATATAGGGTAAGTAAAGAGAAAGGGAAAAATAAAGCAAAAGATACAGAAGAAAAGGCTGAGAGTACAGGCAGGTAAGAGTACCTGAAAAAAGGACAGAAAGGGACAAAGAAATAGTGAATATGAGGTAGAATGGTTAAGAGTCATGGGGTGACAAGCTTAAAAAGTAGAATTTTTTTTTAAAGTAGAATATTTAAAAGTATAGAAAGTAGACAGTAGATAAGACTAAAACCAACATAAGAAAAATATAACTTTCAAGAACTGAATTAAGATCAAAATAAGATAGGGCAGTAGGAAAATGACTTAAATTCTTAACTTAATTTACCTAAATTACAGTTAAATGCAAGGACAGATAGCCAAGATCAAAAACATGAAAAGTTTAATAGCGATACCAGGAGGACAGAGGAGAGTAGTGGAGGATTAGCATGAAAGAGATTAAAAGTAAAACACACACAGAGAGGGCACACACTTTTAAACTTCCTTGAATTTCCGGGTCAACTGAAAAAAATTGAGATTATTATTATGAAAGGACAAATACTACTGAAATTTTAGAAAATGCTGGTCTCTACAGTAAGAATCAAATGAAAAAGATTAAAATTATTGCATGAATTATATCATGGAAAAATAGAAAACAGAAAAAACAGATGTAAACTTAGCTTTAAAATGGACTTAGATTCCTTATATAAGATAGGCATGGGAAGCAAGCTGGAGGAGAAAGCAACAGAACCGACCATCCCAGAGGGACTAGGGGGAGGAGGAGGTAGTGGAAGGGAGAGGTGAACAAATAACACCATAGACAGGGAACAACTAGGACATTACAATCAGCAACAAGGACGTACAGATCCTGGGGTGTTGGAGCAACAGCAATCTAGTCAAGAGGACTTACTAAGAGGTGGAAGTTATGGTGAGCGTGATGGTGAGTCAGGAGGAAGGTGAAAGGAAACAGAGGAAAGATCTAGGAAGCAAAGCTATGGATAGAGGTATAAAGATAGGTGTATACATACATTAATATATTAATTCATAAAAAGAGGTATTTGCCCATGTACATATATTTATATGGCAATACACTGAGGTTATAGATGGACTTCGGGCCTCTGCTCATGACTTTCCTTAATGCAAGAACACTTTGTTCTAACAACCTGGCAATCTGTGATGCTCACCATCCTGGCAAGAGTACTGAAGACAAAATGGGTGCATTAGCAAATGCAGTGAAGAAAGCTGATGGTGCCCAGTTATCAAAAGATATGGAATCTGGCGTCTGAAAAGCTTAAAATTAAACAAGCACTCATCTAGCAAAGAAGCAACAAGCCCACATGGAAGAAGCCCACTAGCCTGTGTGATCATGAGATGTCGCCAGGACCAGTAACAAGCATCAGCAGACCCTTAACAAACGAACAAACAAACATATTGTTGAGAACAAGGAGGGTCAGAGCAGAGACCCAGAGTCCTTCTGTAGACAATGGGACATCCCCTCACAACAGGGAAGGGGTGCAGTAAAGCACCAATGAAACACAATACTCCTGTGGTTCCTTGAAGCTTCCTCATGCCCCACTATCATGAGCCTAGTATTGCCTTTCACTGTGGGCTAGACTGGAGCATGTGCACAGGTACAGATAAGACATAAAAGCTCACAACATACGGAATCCAGGAACAGGAATAGGAGCAGTGATACCAGGGGGGTAGAGGGAAGGTGGGGAGAGTAGTGGAGGAAGGGGGAACCAATTGTGATGATCAACATATATCTGTGTCCTGTCCCTCCCCACACTAGGGATGAACAACAGAAACTGTGGGGGAAGGGCGACAGCAGTCAGTGTAAGATATGAAAATAATAATTTATAATTTATCAAGAGACCATGAGGGTGGGGGGAAGGGAGGGGATGGGAAGAGGGGCTGACACCAAGGGCTTAATAGAACATGTCTAGAAAATGATGATGGCAACAGATGTACAAATGTGCTTGATACAATTGATGTGTGGATTCCTACAAGAGCTATAAGAGCCCTCAATAAAATGTGTTTTTTTTTTTTAAATCCACAAAAAACGGACTTAGACATGTGACATACAAAACAGCTTCAAAAAGGTTATGGAAAGATGGAAATGAAAGAGTAGACTTTTCACACAAACTATTTGAAGCAACCTTATTTTCCAAAGTCACCAGTTTGAAAAGCATTTTTCATAATTTCAACAGTATAAATAGACTAATTTGCTAAATTAAACTTGGTAAGAGCATAATGCTGAAATCAGCTATTATAGTTTTTAGTCAAATAAGTTATCTTTATAAAATAATGAGAATAGTCTCTTTTTTCAAGTTAGGATCATCAATTCACATGTTCATTAAATATTTATTATGTCCATTAAGTGTCAAGAATTCCTAGATGTCATACATATAGTTGTGAGCATAAAGGTAAATTCCAAGGGTCAGGGAGGGTTAAAAAAAGGGCAAATTCCAACTACCCTCATGGGACTTATGTTTTAATGAATAAAAAAGAAAAATAAGCCAAAGTATATCATTCAAAAAAGCTTTGGGAAGCCATTCTGACAATAGTCAACATAAATTTTAAAATGCTTCTCTGGAAAAATCTTTCACAATGAGTATTTAAAAAATTGGTATGAAATACTCTAAGAAACTTCTAATCAGTATATGTGGTTGTAAATGACATTTAGTCACACATATTATATAGGCAGTCAAGATGAAAATTTACTACCACTAAAGCTACTGAAAAGAAGTGTCATCAGCTCAAAGATTTCCCAAACAAACAAGAAGTATTTGTTGTTATTATTTTAAATAAGTCATGCTACAGTACAATAGCTTCTTTTAAAAAAGTTACAGCCCAATTTCCACTTGATATATGAATTAATCTATATTTTAAAATGTCATTTTACTACCGCAAATTTAATAAAAATTTACCCATTCAATTGTCTTAAAGAAATGAAGTATAAAGAATGCACACATAATCACTTCCAGAAAAATGTCTAAAACCATGCAAATTTTATTACAAACACTGTCATCTCAACTCTGCCTTTTTCCGATTGAACCAGAAGAGGGAGCTTCCTTGTCTCTGTCCAGACAGAAAGGCTAGCATCCATCCGGAGAACTATCAACACTACACTTACAGAAATTCATCATGATACGAACAGGTTAAGAATAGAGAAGGGAGCATGTCTCAGAACACAGACACTATTCACCTTTCCCCGGCTCCTTTATTCACACAGTTCTCAAATAGTCACTTTCAAAATTAGCCAGGATTAGGTTTTTCTCAAAGACCTAACATGGTATGGTCATACCTTTTCCTCTAATTTCTGCATTGGACCCTTTGAAGTAGTTCATTAATACTTTAAGGTAAACATTAAAAATCAATTATAGTTATGAAAAATTATTAAATAAATTCTTGTTAGGAGAAACAATTTTTTAAAACCTTGCTTTACAAAATATTAAATATATATTAGATTTAAATCCTATTGCCTACAGGTCCAATATTTTAAAAAAGGGGTCATGCAATATGCCTAAGTGGCAGTTTCTGTTTTATAAAACATCTTGACCATGGAGAGAAAGCTGGTCTCAAAATTACTCCTGAATTTATAAGGCACTTGATGTAAAAGTGAAAGAAAGCTGGGCACCGAGAAAAGAAACAACATAGAAGTATGAGGGGGCTTCAGAGTTTGTGAGAAAATTCCATATCTTTTATATCCATTTTCCCACAAACTTTTCGAAGTGCCCTCATGCTAAATGTGATACTGAGACGCTTCTCAAAAAAAAACCCAAAACCCAGCATTGTAGAACATAAAAAGTTAAACACAATACAGACTAACACCAGAATATGCTGAAAGAGAGGGGGAATGAAGATAAATTAAAATCCTGCTATACTTTGAGCAACTGGAACACGTTTTCTTGGTGGGAGGAGGTGGCGGGCGGGCAGGTGGAACTGTATATCCAGTGAGACACAGTGTGGAGCAGAATAGCTGGGTAGACCCTTTCCTCTGATAAGCAGTTTGCCCCTTCTGGAGGATTTTTTTGCAACCAGAACAGGAAACTCGAACAGCGGTTGCTGGAACTGATGGAAGCATTTTATTCATGCCAGCTGAGGCCAGTGAAGGCTGAAAGCCAGTAGTCAACTGTGGAGCTTTAAAACAAAAAGGGAAAGATGCTTTACTATTTTACCATGAATTTTAAAGATATTCTTACTTTTCTTCTGCTATTCTTAAAAAACCAATCACCACTTATATAATACACAACTAAAGGCAATCTAAATCAGTAGTGAGTACTGCTTGATTTACTAATATAAGTTTAAATCAGTAGTGAGTACTGCTTGATTTACTAATATAAGTAAGATATTGCCTCTCACTCAGACTGCTCAAAATAAATAAACACGATTCATTTATTTACTTCTGTTTCTTACCAAGAGGGCTTCCACTGACTGAAAACACAGCACTAATTTTCAGTTCCCCCTCTTGAGTTTTTTGCTGCTGGCCATGACTGTACTCCTTTAAAAAACAAAATAAATTAATAAATAAATGCACAGGAGAAAGAGTAAGTACAACATATTTAAACATAACCATATATTCAAGACATTTTAGGATGGTTACATAAAGGTCTAAAATATTTATGATACTAAAATTAACCAGAAAATATAAAATAAAAAACAGCAAGCAAACGGCAATTGCAATAAGGGTAAATAAGTTTATATATGTCTATATTCTAGGAAGGCAAGAGGTAAAAAGATAAAAGTGGTCCACTCAATTAATGTGCCTGTAACATAATGAAATTATTTGTAAATTACTCTTGAAAATTCTCCTTCTATTACTCCTGCATTTTAAGTTAAAATGTATCTATTATAAAAGTAATACACACTTATTATAGAAAATTCAGACAGTAGCAATGTAAATAACCCTAATCCACATTTCCATCAACTGAAAGCAACCACTTGATATATTTCTTTCCAGTCTTTTCCCTTCTCTACTTCAGAGGTTTATTCCTTCACATAGCTGTACTTATTGCATACTAAATAAACCATTCTCATAAGCTAATTCCTTGATCACTAAGATCATTTGAATTTTTCCTTTTCATTACAAAATAAGTATCAGTGGTTTTTAAATTGGAGTCCAAGAACCTGAGGTTAATAGCTGTATTCTAGAAAGTCTAAATTAATTATTTGAAATTTTCATTTCAACAATTTAATGATGAATGTAAACATATTGAGTCACAAATAACCACCACATAACTAAGCTCTACCGTAATTTTCAGTGCTGTTGTTTGCACTGTGAAACTAAGAGGTAAATTTAAACTTTTCTTTTAATCAATGGTTCATCACACTGAAACTTAAAAACCCCAGCAAAATCCCTATTCTCAGGATTCTCAGCCATAACATATTTTGTGTTAGAATATCTGTGAGGAAAATACTGGCACATACTGCTCCAATATGGCCCTACACAGCTTTGAGATTATAAAACCACAACCCAACATTGGCTCACTTAGTATTTCCACATATTTCATACAATCAGTAATACCATGATGACTATCTTTGTGAATACTCATACACTCTTTTTAAGGATTATTTCCAAAGAAAGGGGTCCTTAAAGTGATATTGCTAAGCAAAAGCACATAGCAAAGGTTCTTGATAGATACTAAGTTACTAAAAAAACAGATCTGAATTATACTTAATCCAGCAATGAAAAAAGTCATTTAAAAGCCATTTCCCATTGTTGTTCAAATTTCTGATTCTTTTTCTTGAAATATCCATTTACCAAAAAAGCTTTATGTTATAACCACATAACCTTAGTATCCCAAACTTAACAATCTTTATCTTTATTTCTTTTAACTGTCACAAGCTTCTATTTCAATAATAAAATAATGAGACCATTATTTCATTATCAATCATCAATTCCGTAATACAGAGGTCAGAAAATGTTATATGTTAGGGGCCAAATAGTAAGTACTATTTTCAAATTTGCGAGCCATATGGTCTCTCTCAACTCTGCCCTTGAAGAGTAAAAGCACTGAGAAAGAGGGGTAATCTTCAAATAAAACTTTATTTATAAAAAGTGATAAGAAAAACAAAAAAGCAAAGGCAGGCTGGATTTATCTGAAAGTCCCCACTTTGCCACTTCTGCTTTAATCTGTCTGGGACTTTTTCATTTTGATGTATGATGGGTGGTTTTGTTTTACTTTTTTTCTCTAAATAAATTAATTCCTTATATTCATCATTGATTAATGTAGCAAATTCTTTAAAATGCCTATTTGGGGGCTATCTTTCGACCTTATTTTCAGTATAATTTATCATCTAATATTCTACTAGTCTAATAACTACAGGATGTTTATTTAACTGGGCATTTGTGATAGATTTTTCTGTACCAACATGGCTCCCATAGGAACATCGGGTAGAGTTTAGTCAATTAACCAGGTCGAAGCTCAACTGGAGGACAACTGAGATAAATGGCATTCCCAGGCAAACCTCCTTCTTTTTCTCCCTGGAGGCAGGCCACACTCTCTCCAATTTCACCTTCCTGCAGGCAAGCCATGCTGAGACCCCTGAGCCCTGTGATGCAGCCACCACCATTGGATCTACAAGACTTGGCACCAACCAGCCTGTGGTCTTCCTGCAGTCTGCATCATTGCATGTGGCTGTGTGAGGCTGAAGAGAGACTTATGGACTAGTATTGGACTTATGGACTTGATTTGGATTGGGCTGGGATGTTTCCTTAATATACAATTACTCTTTGATATAAAGCTCTTTCTTATACATATATGAGTGTTACTGGATTTGTTTCTCTAGTCAACCTGGTCTAACACAGCATGGCATTCTCAACCACTCCAACTGCATTTTTTAGAATATATGTGTAATATGTATGTATGTGTTTACATGTATATCTCTATAATTTCTTCAAAACTTGGAGAGCAAATGTTTTGAGAATGAGGAGGGTAACGAATGCACAAATGTGCTTTATACAACTGATGGATGTATGGATTGTGATAAGACTTGTATGAGCCCCCAATAAAACGATTAAAAAAACTTATAAACCTAACTACTGATATTTTCACGAGAACTACATCGAACCTGTATCATGTAATTTAGGAGTAAATGACATCGTCATACTATTTCTTATATTTTTTTAAAAAGGCAATTCATTTGCCTTTTATCTGATGTAAGAACTTTTTAATTTGTATTGGAAATAATATCTTTTTCACCACATTATCTAACTGTGTAACAACTGGTTTACAGAAATATTTCTTACCTAGATACTCCACTAAACTTTCATGATTTCTATTAACTTTCTAATACAGAACAATGATGATTTTTCTCACCCCCTTTTCATTATTTGTTTTTGTAATTTCTTTATATGTATCGGGTCAAAAATCCAGTGAGTTAAAAAAAGAAATGTATATTAACAATCTATTATTTTAGTAATTATTAAAAGATTTCTAGCACTTAAAATCAATATTGGTCTGCAATTGATATTTCCCTACTGTGATCAACAGTATCTATTTTAATAAATGCATAATGAATTATAAGATATATTCTGGTAACTAATAAAATGATTATATATTCTTACTTGACCTAGTGTTGAACCATGGGAACACCCCTATGCATTCTGAGTGTATTAAAGCAAATTCCAAATAAGAGGAAAACAAAGCTCTCAGCCAACTCCAAACTAACAAGAGGTCTTCAGCCAGTTCTCTTTTATCATTCTCTATAACAGCTATTCCAAACTTTTGACACTTTTCTTAAGCTGCTGATATGTCAATTACATTACCGAAAAGTCTACATCTTCAGTTCTATTGTATCCTGCACAATGCTTTCAAAGTGGAATCCATGCCTGATTTGTTTATATCTCTTATAATGCCTACCTTTACAAATATCTACAACTAGCAAATTGCTAATGATTTTTTTGGTAAAGTGAAAATCTGATTGATGATCCAAAACCTTTCAGAAACAGGAAAATAAATAGGTGTCAAAACAAAACCAAAGAACATTTGACAGTATCTTTACATTCCTTCATTTACCAAAAAGAAAAGACTGTTTCTATCAGTATTCCAGGACTGTATTTTAGAATGGAAGAACCTCTATTTTCAAATTAACTTAATTTGGCAAACTAAATGCTAATATTTGAATTAGTATATTCTTTCTTCAACTTAAAATTACTATGGTGACAATTTGCTTTCCCATTTATTTCAAAGGAAGCATTTCTTTTCCCTCTGAGTAAAAAAACGGAGGGGGGAATTTTAATGCAGTATTTACCAAGTGTTCAACTTTTAAAAAATCATGGAAAGGGGTAAAGAAAGAGTGAGCTCTGTGGCGAGGTAGCTTGTAAAAGAAAGATGAATAGTCTAAGAAGACTGAGAGGAGCATGATGACGGCACCAGGTGGCCCAGTGGGCCCTATGGCTTTGAGTCAGAGATTGAACTTAACCTCAACGTACTTCAGCTCCATTATCTACTTCTCTATAAATGGGGCTATTATCCTCTACTCTTGCCATCTTATATAAAGTTGTTTTAAGTATAAAACAAAACAGTACTTACAAAAGAACTACATAAAAATTATAGTTCCATGCAATGGGATTAGTCTAAAGAAATGAAATTGATAGGCTAACATGAAGTTATGCCAGTAGAAGAGGAAAATGAGTGGCACCCCCAGAAAGCCACTATAAGAAAAACAGTCAAAAGCAAATTAGTGGAAGTTAAATACACACATACATTTATTTTAGCATCTTACTAACTTATATGAGAAAGTACAGAAGACCAAAATGAGTTACATTAAAAAGGAGAACTAGCATATGAGCTGTTAAGATCTACCAGTATTTTACAAGAGAATTAGGTTAATAATACTATTTTAGAAAGTAAGAAAAGAATGCATTGGGACTCCCTTTCCATGCTATGGGAGATTAAAACAAGTAATAAAGCATTGTATAGTATTTTAACAGCAGAGTATAGATTTCCAATGGCCACTGGGAGTGAAGGGGAGAACAAATGGAAAGAAAGAAAAAAGAAAAGTGAAACCAGACAAAAAACCCAGTATTTTTTAATGTTTTCTAAAACATGTATGTATATAGGTCTGTAATATATATATATATATCCAAGACCTATCTTACACAGGAAATCCAGCCTACAGGAAATCCAGCCTTCCCCAGTCATGCTAGAATTGACTTACCGTGGGGGTAAAGCGTACAGAGGTTTCAAAACTTTATACCTAGAAACTGCCCGCAGTCTTGCTTCGCTCTCACGTGTTTACTCAATCAGCTAGACATTCTTTAGGGACATGTTCCACTATAATCGTGATGAAACTTCCTAATCAACACATTTGAAACACATAACATTTCAAACAAGTATTAAAAGTGCAGGCAGTTCTGTGTCCTGATTTTACATCCTATTTATACTCTCCAGCCCTTGAAATTCTGATGGTTTTCAAAACAACAATATTCATTAGCTTTTCTCAATGCCTATGGCTCCAGTGTTTATAGACTTTGCTATTAATTACCTTTCCGTCCCAAGGAAAGTGTCAATAGATAATGTACATAGAAAAAGAGATAACTTTGGTATTATCCTGTCACGTTATGATTTCTTGCAGATTTCCCACATTGGATGGACACTGTATGTCAAGAGACACAAGGCCTGTCCTGCATACAAACATGACCATATGAACACAGCTTTATCCCTAATTCAGGTTATCCAAGATCTGTTTCCGTACATCTCATGCTTCCAACCTATCTTCTATTCAAATATTTTCATATTCCTTCCTCTCTATTATTTTCTTGGTAGTCACAACACTCATCAAAGTCCTACAGCTTTATCTTCATAACATTAGCTTCCAGTGGCACCATGAAATACATGCTTAATTAAACACTGATATGACAAATACCAATCACCTATATAATCACCCATTCTTCCAGCTCCTTACTTTAAAACAGTGGTCTCAACAGTGCCCTCAAGGAACATTTGACAATGTCTGAAAACATTTTTGGTTGCTAATTCAGCATAGGCTAAGAATGGATTTAACAATTTATAAACAGATTATGTTTAGAAGTTATTTGATTGCAGAGCTGATTTAGTTTATTAACATAAACCAAATTCATTATCATCAAGTTGATTGCAATTTATAGTAACCCTACAGGACAAAGTAGAACTGCCTCTGTAGGTTTTTTAGATTAAAACTCTTTAGAAAGGGAGTAAAAAGCCTCATCTTTCTCCCATGAAGTGGCTCCTGGTTTCAAACTGCTGACCTTACAGCTAGCAGGCCAACGTGTAATCCACAAATCTCCCAAGTGGTTACACCATAGAACATACCCACTACATTGTGTCACTGGGTAGAGGACAAGAATGCTGCCAAGCATGCAAAAAATGCACAGGGCAGCCCCATGCACAGCAACTACCTGGCTCACAGTGTCCAAAGGGCCACAGTCGAGAGCCCCTCCTCAAAGAACCCTGCATGCAAATTCTCTTCCCCGGACGCTCACATTTTCGAACTCACAACAGATAGGGAAAAGAAAACTTTCTCCATACCAAATGTCTAATTCATAGTATTTTTTTCTTCTTGTCCTTGAATTGATGCCATCTGAATAAAACTTCAACTACCCTTAAATAATTGCTACGATCGTATTCATCCTTTGGACTCCTTCCTACATTCCCAAATCATTACAACACTTGCTATAACGTCTTTCCTCCATTACAATCACTGCAATGCAATTAACTGCATGGATGACTTCCCTAACTTCAAGACCTCACAGCTCCATGACTTCTATCCTCAGAGCAAACGTGCTACAGTAGAGCTCTCTATTTACTGATTATTCAAAGATTTCAAACTTGGAATCCTTTATCATCAAAGTTAACTTTATATTCTACCCACTAGCCCAATGAAATGGCACCACAATCAACTCTTATCAAGTCCATTAACTCCCGTATTAGTCGCAAGTGCAAGGGCCTATTATTCCATATGAACTCAATCACACCATACACATCATAAACCACCATAAAACCTTCAATCGTGTGTGCTCTATCATTCTCAAATCCTTGAATACTCTCACATTTTCCCTAATCTTGCACTAAAATGCATTATAAAAATCATGGAACATTAAATTAAAAGCCTGAATTACTACTCAGAAGTAATTTCTTATGACTCTGTTAATTCCTTAGCTATATTCTCACAAGATAACTCAAATTGCCTCAATCTTAACTTAAAAGTCTACCTCAGCCTCTTAACAAGCCACTTCTTAGTCAAGAATTTCCTCTCTCAAATGAGAACTTCAATGCATGGAACAAAAAGAAGGGAAAACAAAAACAAAAAGATGAATGTTTACTTGAGCATTGTCAGGTTCATCTTTAATTTTGTCTAGTAGTCCCTGCTGTGGTGCCATTGCTTTGTCATACTCATCATCCAAAGGTTCTTCTTTAATTCTAATATTTGATGCAAAGGAATTCCCCAGTTCCGAACCAATGGATTCTTTATTGGCAAATGGGTAGCTGGAATCCTAAAACACAATATAAAGGATTAATAAATATTCATATTTTAAAAGTATCCCTCTTCAGGCCTAACACCCAAAGCAAAGCTCACTGGAAATGAAGACCTCTGACCTCTCATTAGCGTCCTGCACCTAAAAGTCAGTGTGCCAGACGAAGAGCCTCAAGCCACGGCTACTGAGGGTCTCCAGAGACGCCGCACCCAAATAACAAAGCAAGTAAAAGAAGTCAGAACGCTACCTAATACACAGAGTTACAATTTAGAAAGTGACATAAAGAAAACTTGGACACTTGCCACAGTTACAGCAATCTACATACACACTGAAAACTTACCCTAAAGTTTGTTTCTGGGGTTTGTGGTAAATGGGTATGTAATGTTTCTTCAACTTGATTAGCTATTGAAAGAAAAAACAAAACAAAACAAAAAACACATGTATATGAATAACAAATTTTAGAAAGAGTGACCTACAAAGCTGTCATCTGATAATCAACTCTTTTTTCTAACAAAGGTGCTTTATTAAGAGTGAACTGGGTTCCCTTAAACACTCAAAAGATCGTTTCCCTCAGAGGTTTTGCATGATCTAGCCCCATCTAACTTTTTAGCCTTACCTACCACCTTTTTCTTGCGCAAACAAATAATGTGGTTATTTCATTTACCCTGCTCTGAAAAATGACTGATGTTCTCCATTTCTTAGACCATTCTGATTCCTTTTTGTCTACCCTAATCTTACAGTCTTCCAGAATCTTCCCAGTTCAAAATTCCTCTCTACTAAAAAACCTTCCGTGCCCACCGAAATGAAAATCGTCTTGGAATTCCAGAGCTGAAAACGCCATCGTGGAATTTCAGTCACTTAAAAGAAATTCCTCTGATATTGCTTTATGAGAAGCTCTTGTACTCCTAACTTTCTTTCCTTTCTACTAATGCATGTGTTCCTTGAGGAGAAATACTCTCACATAATTTACAATATCCCTATAGTGCACCGTTCACAGTCTTGCATATAACATATAGAAAACACCAAAATAATTGTTACTGACAATACTAATTTGTTATTTCTACCACATATTTCCTAGTATTATCAGAGTAAATATAAGGGTTGGTATAATACACTTTGCTTTTTCCCCACATCTACAGAACATTTATTAAAAAGATTACTATTTTTACTGCACCAGATTAGCCCCGAAGAATACAAAACTGAGTAAGATATAATCTGACCCTCAAGAAACCTCTAACTACTAGGTAAGGCAAAGCAAGTACAGAACTGTAAAATTATGTGAGAGATGCTATAAATAATGAAACATGAACAAAATGTGTACATATACATAAGGAAACAATTCATTCTTGGTGGTGAGAGGTTAGAGATGAGAAACACAATAAAAGAGGCTTGGGTTCAGCCTTGTTAAATGAGAAGTACTTTCATAGTCTTTTTTAAGGCATATATAAAAGAGAGAAGATGAAGTGCAAGCAAATGAAATATTAGAAAGAAAGTTGGTCAGAGAAGTAAGAAAATATATGTTGAGGCCAAGAATGGAATTGAAGCTAAAGCACAGAGTACTCTGGCAAAGAGGCTCAGGAAGCGCCCCAAGAAATTTCTAAAACAGAAATGTTAACAAAAAGTGAAACACTCCTTCATGTGGACTAAGTGGCAGGACAGCAGTTTGAATTAGTGCTTACAGCACAAAGAAGTTAAATCCAACTTCGGGTTCCAATGTCCAACCAAAGAAAATGAACAGGTAATTCAAGTATCTTGCCTTCTCATCAAAATATTGCAACCAAGGGAGGGAGAAATGAAGCTTATAGGCTATTTTTCAACCACTTATACCATTATCAAAAGTTATTGTGGGAAATTCGGTCTGCAAAGAACAAGGATAAAAGAAAAATGACAAGCTCACAATGAGTTTAACTGTTCATATTTCACTTAACATCAGAAGATAATTAACACAAGCTATATTATCATTAGTACGTGGTTATTTATTCTGTTTTATGGTTCTATTTAAGTAATTATTACCTGCTTTATCAAAAAAACTGCTTTTCAACCTTGAATCCATATCTTTATGGGGTTTATCCAACAGTTTTTCACGTTCATGATAAATTAAGTCTCTATTTTTTTCCTTTCCAGAAAATGTCTCTTTGCTGTTTTCTCTTACTAGACTAAAATCTTTCCGTATGGATTTAAAAACAGAAACCTGATCAAACTGTTTAGGAAAGTCCTTTTTTACTTTATTTTGAATTTGTATTTCGTTTTCATGGTCTGATTCATGCTGTGAGACTCTTCTCTCTATTTCCAAGCTATCATCAGTATGAATTGAAGAAACAAGATTATCCTTTGAACTAAAATCCTGTTCATCCTCATTGTCACTACAAACAACTGGAATTCCTGCAAGATCCCCAGAGTTCAAAAAATAATCATCTTCATCCAGCAATGAATTTTCAGATCCTGTTTGATTCGGCATTCCATAGGACATGCTGTCAAGGGTGGGAGTTAAGTTGTGGTCTGTATCTTCAGACATTTCTGTATCCATGATACCACCACCTTAAAAAGTAAAATACTGTTTAGACAAAAGATAGTGCTACAGATGGCCACAATTATAAGGTCTGCCTGGTATAGAACCAAATATAATTTTAAACAAAATATAGATAATATTACCATAATATCCAGTTAGCACTTTGAGTTTGTGCGATAGGTATAAAAATTCAAGCTTGAGATACTATTTAGGTTCAAAAGGAAGGAATGTGACGCAGAGAAAAGAGCAGCATTAACTTTACAATCAGGTATATTTCTGCTGGAAGTTGTAGCTACATCACTTCAAATCTATGTGATCCTGAGAAGCAACGTCTCAGTCTTCTCATTTACAAGATGGTGTAATACTCACCTTATACTTTAATTTATGGTGAGGGCTACTGTTAATATGCATTCTGTTAAAAGATAGAGTGGCAAATGGAGTGGTCATTAATAATTACTAGAATAATAGTGATTATTCTGGGGCACTGAGATTAGATCTCAGGTCTCTGGGCTCAGAGCTCCATGTTTCCTGTATTAACACTAATAAACACTTAAATGTTTACAATAGCAAATATTTCAACATTAAAATAAAATGTACACATACTAGAATCTAACAGAAAAATTTACTGTTTATTACATGTTCAAGTCGATCCAATCCTAAAATAGTCCCCTCTTTAAATAGAAACCTCATAGCCCTGCTTTTCTTTTCATAGCCCTTATTTATCTTTTTTCTTTACAATCAAACAGCTAGGAATAAAGCACACTGATTTGTATCTACTTTACGAACCCAATACAATCTAGTTCCCAACCTCCCACTGGAATTACTTCTACTAAATAGTCAATGATCTCTCCAACAGGTCAAATTCAAATGCTTTTTAAATCCTTATATGGCATTTGGTAGCCCCTCCTTAATAGCAACTTTTGTTCCTTTAGTTTCCTGGATACTACATTTCTTCCTAGCCCCCTAATTTGTCTATCAATTTATTCCATATTCTTCTTCTATGTGTGCATTTTAAAGCAGCTTCTCCTCCAGGATTCTGGTCCTCATCTCATCTCATCTTATACACGCAGACTACACAGATTAGTTATCCCACAGCCATGACTGTTGAGGTTGGCTTTCTAGAGTTTTCTCTTTTATCTAGAACCTAAGGACCTCCAACTTAGTATTTCTAAATAAAAACTTATTTTCCCATCCCAAGCATACTCATTTCCCTAACTTGATTATTATCATTGCTAAAGTAGCAACTGTTCCAGATAGAATCTCTCCTATTCCCCTTACTCCAATTTCTATTAGCTGTACTACTTAATATCTCTTAAATGCATCTCTTCTACTCAACTTCAAGTCCAACACCCTACATCTCTTTTGGGACTACTGTAATATCTTCAACAGTGTAGCTATTCCATCAATGGATATCTAGAAAGCCACTATATTCTCACAAACTCCTACTTCTAAGTCATTTAGTGGTCCCTAGGAATAAGAAAACCGAAATTGATAGACATAATGACTAAAAATATTAGTAACATTGGCATTCAAATTCCTATTTGTTCCCATAGCTCATATGTATCCGTTCATGATGCTTGGTTAATCAACTCTTCCTTGGTTTCCATGATGAAATGAATTTCTGTTTTGTTTAAATTTATTTGAATTGGGTTGCCTGGAAATTAAGAGTTCAAGACCCAAATACAAGCTATCCTCAAATTCCTCACCTCTGTACAGACACTAGAATCATCTGAGAAACAAATCACCCCATTTTATACCTTCACTTAAACTCCTTCAGTAGCTTCCTGGTGCCTAATGTATTCACTCACCATTCAGTATATATCAGAAAATTACTCTGATAAGCATTGTGCTAGGTTCTAGGGATAAGATGCTAAAAAAAAAAAAAAAAAAAAAGAGGCAGCTATGATCCCTTCATACATAGGTAGAAATAAAAAAATAGAAAATTATAAACTGTGTAATAGTGAAAAATTATTTGAATCCAATATGATGCTTAAAAAATGAAGTGGAGTAAGAACAAAGCTTCCCCCCCTCCAAATAAAAGTGTGTGCTAATAAATGAAGATGAAATAGAATTAGAAAACTGCCATTTTGTGCTTTCTGAAATAGTAATAAATTCAGACAACAAATGTTAAACCTTTAGGAAAACAGTTGTTGGAGAGAATATTTCCTTGGTACTAAAATAAAGTCAGTGATTTAAAGTAGAAATGAGGGAATATCTGTTTATAATACTTCCACACTCCTAAATAAGGGTCAAACATAGTCTAAGTAATGAATAAATGCTTACTATACCGTATCTATTCACAGGACCACATACCACATACACATCCACCTATGAATTTTTGCCAAACACATTTAGCTTCACTCTAAGTTTTCCTACTTCTAACTCTCAATGTAAAGGAAGTACGGAGATAGAGGTACAAGTTACACAAACTGAAAACAATAAGATAAATAAATAATCTAGAATGTAGATTTTTCTGTAAAACAGTATCATGGTGTGGTGGAGTGAAATTTCTTAATATATGTCCCAACTCCCCATGTCTCTAACTCCCACAAAATGATTGGGTGGATCTACGCAAACAGGGTTGTGTAGCACTAAGAGAGGGTATTGGTCAGTTCTCATTACCACCTCCCTAGCTATAAGGATGTACCAATTTAAAGCAGCAGCAGAAAGAGAACACCTAGGATCTCTACCTGAAGTAGCACGAGAACACGAGGCACCAGAGATTGTGGCATGGAGATTCAGAGGAGCAGCACCAAGACTATGGGGTACCTACTCCTCATCTGGCCTGAGACAACAAACTATGAAACAGAGCAATAAGTGGGTTAGTTTCCTGGCCCATGGAGGTAGAAGGCAAAGAATCATGTGGCTTAAGAAGCTAATTATGTGGTACTGGGAAAACAAATGGTCAGCTGAAAAAAATGGATTCCTAAGTGACGGGAAAAAATTGCAGGTCTTAAAAGTGTATACACACACAGACACACACACACACGATTTAAACAAATAAGGCTCAACCCTCCTTGTAATTTTAAAAAATGCAATTAAATAAATGCAATGAGATGCCATGGTCACCTAGGAAGCTGATAATAGAAAGACTTTGGGATGACACTCTGGTAGCAATGGTGTAAGGCTAAAGCTGCCAACATGGACACACACACACACACACACACACACACACACACACGGCTGCCAAAGCTATTCCCGTTTACTAATCTGTTCTAAAAAAGATTGCAAACTCCTATGGATAAAGAAGCACTACAAGTAGAAAGGTGAACTGACATAATTATAATTAAGGATAAGTAGACAATATTGATCTTTGAATACATGTATCTCTTGACCCAGAAATTAAATTCTATGAATACATCCTATAGATATCTTATCTTATATGCAAAAAGTGCTGTATAAAAACTACTTATATCACCAAAAGTCTGATAACAGCTTATCATTCCATCGATGAGACTAAATTATAGTACATACTTACAATAAATTATATACTACTTAAAACAATGAGGCAGCTTTATATATAACGAACTCCCAAGACTTATGAAGTTAAAATAGGAAAGCGAGGAAGAATCCTCATTGTGTTACTACTGCTGTGATTGGTCAATGCGTTTGCTTATTAGTTTTAATTTCTAGAAGAACCCATAAGAAACTATTGTTTTTCTAAGAAAAGCAGAAGTAGGTGGCTGTGAAACAGAAACATTTTTCAAAGTATACCCTTTGGGTTTTCTAAACACATAGATCTAGTAGCTATGAAGCTTTATCACATCTCTACTGAAAAATTAGGTGTGTCCATTCTTTAAAAAGCAGCTAACTTAGTTGGACAAGGTTTTAGGTTAAATTTAAGCACTTGCCATATTAATTAACTTAGAATTCTACTCACCCTTGCGGCTCATACAGTCAAACAAAACAAACAGCTTCTGCTTCTAAGGAAACTAGAGCTACAGAACAAATGAGACCCTACATTGTATCTGAGGATCAGCAACTAGTAAAACGTCTGCAAACACAAATGTTCTAGTGTTAGGTTCATGACTTTCAGTCACTTTGAGAATGCTTGGCATATGGGGAAAGCAAGAATGGTATGGCTGGAACTCAATGAGCAGAAGGGAAAAGTAATTTAAAAAGTGAAAGGAAAAAAAAAGACAAAAATAAATCTTTTAAGATCCTACAGGCCATAAAACAGGAAGCCATGGAAGGGTCCTGAAGAGGTGTAACACATTTGATATGTGTTTTACAAGAATCATTGCGGCTAATTTTAAATAGTTAAATGTTCATGGAAACTCCAGAGGAACCCCCAAAATAGACTTCAGGCTAGGAGGGGCAGTTTCTGGAAGCCCGTAGGATCAGTGGGGAGATAGTCATAGAGGTAATCAGATAGAGCTGGAACTATGTATGCTTTTTAGGGGATTTTTTGTTTGTTTGTTTGATCTCTTTTTACTCAATACTTGGTTTTCTCTTTGTTCTGCCTCTGTTAATTGTTTTGCATGCCTATATAATACTGGCATGGGAAGCAAGCCAAAAGAGAAAACCAAGGGACTGACAGTTCTTGAGGGAGCTGGGGGGAGGTAGAGGTGGCAGAAAGGAGTGGTGAGGAAACAATGCCATAGACAGGGGAACAACTAGGGAATTAAAAGCAACAACAAGGAGGACATACGGACATACGGATTCCGGTGGTATAGGAGCAACAGCAATCTAGCTGAGAGGAAATACTAATAGGCAGAAGGACTAGTGTGATTGTGGGGCAGGAGGAAAGTAAAAAGAAACAGAGAAAATATATGGGAAGCAAAGCTATGGATAGAGGTACAAACATAGGTGTGCACTTATGTAAATATATTAATTCATAAAAATAGAGATATTGGCCTATGAACATATATTTGTATGGAAATACACTGAGGAAGTAGACAAACTTTTGGCCTCTGCTCAACCCCTCCCTCAACCCCAAAACACTTTGTTCTAACAAGCTGGCATTTTGTGATGCTCACTCTCTAGACAAAATCATTGAAAACAAAATGAGCGCATAAGCAAATGAGGT